TTCTGTAATCCCAGCTCTTGGGAGGCCTCTGTAGGAAGATGACTGAGTTCAAGGCCAGCCTGGACTACATAGTGAGACCCTGTCTCAAAAATACCAAAAAATAAGATTATGAAGATTGAAAAATAGAGGCCAGTTAAGCTTGAAATTACTACATTTTAGCTTCCTTAAATTCTGCCCTAGGCCAGCCCAGATAGCTCAGTGGATTAAAGTGCCTGGCAGGGGCCAGGGGTTTGATCCCAGGGCCTGCTGTGCCAACCCCACCCCCTGAGGCATGCTGAGAATGGTGATTGGGACTGGGCGTGGTGGCATGTGTCTGTAATCCCAGCTCTTGGGAGGCTGTAAACAAGAGAATCACTGCAAGTCTGATCTAGTAGTGAGACCCTAAACACCCTGTATATCCTTCCCTAAAATACAGGGGGAAAAAATTCTGCCCTAGATTCAGAAGGTAAAAAATTAAAAGTTGTTCTGTTAAGTTTCTAATTGTAAAAATGCAGGCATGGGCCATTATATTTTTGTTTCATACTTTGTAATTATTCCTCCAAAAGTAAGATTGTAAAACAAGAGAAGAGGGTTATTTTGTCATCGGACCTAAAAATTGGTTTGATGATGGATTTTTAGAGGACAATACGTGCTTTTACCTAATTTGTAAACCACTGAGAATAGACCAAGTTATAGGACCCATGTATCATTTTAATGTACAAGAAGTAGCTATTCACTGCTTTTCCTGCAGCTAAAGGAGGTCTTTGCTTCTTTTTGGTTCATAGAGATCCATCCCTTTACTGTAGAAAAAAAGTTATTCAATCAGTAAATCATAGATTTCCTTCATTTGTTTTAGGTATGATGCATTGTGTATTCTTCTTCGTCACAGCAAGAACGTACGTTTTTGGTTTGCTCATAATGTCCTTTTTAATGTTTCAAATCGGTTCTCTGAATACCTCTTGGAATGCCCTAGTGCAGAAGTGAGAGGTGCATTTGCAAAACTTATAGTTTTTATCGCACATTTTTCCTTGCAAGATGGACCATGTCCTTCACCTTTTGCATCTCCTGGACCTTCTAGTCAGGTAATTGCAGGCTTTCTAATAATTACATGCTTACAAAACATGTTTTCTGAAAATTGGAGTCACAAACTTATGTACATCTTCTTGATATGTTAACCTAAATAACATACAGTCTGATGTCTATGGATTGCATTAAAATTACTGCTCTATAGAAGTGGATAGTGAATATTGGCCCTTACAAAACATAAAGGAATTATCCCTATTCACTTCCATGTTATAGCTTAACTATAAATTTAACTATAAGCTAGGCACAGTGGTGCAGCATATACCTGTAGTCCCAGCTACTGAAAACACAAGCAGGAGGATCAAGAGTTTGAGACCATCCTCGGCTACATAGTAAATTCAGTATCAGCCTGGGCCAAGACCCTGTCCCTCCTACCCGCCCTCCAAAAAAACCTTTTAAGTAGTGGTTTTTTTTTTCTCTCCTTTATCCTAGGGGCTGGGGAGATGGCTCAGTAGAATAAGCATATGCCTGACAAGCACAAGGCCCTGAGTTCAATCCCTGGTTCTGCCCCCCCCCAAAAAAAATTTCTCCTTTGTCCTAGAGGATTTAATAGGACTTTTTAATATACAATAGTATAAAAGATGTATAATGAAATCCTCTGTAGTTATTCATTCCCTTTCCCCAATAACAGCCCTTTTTAATAGCGAGGCAGGGGCCGGGGAGATAGCTCAGTAGAGTAAGTGCTTCCCTGGCAAGCGCAAGGGCCTGAGTTCAATCCTTGGTTCTGGAAAAAAAAATCACCAGGTATGGTGGTACATGCCTATAATCCCAGACCTTGGGAGGTGGAAATAAGATCACTAAGTAGTGATTTCAAGGCCAGCATTAATGACATAGCAAGACCTGTCTCAAATGTTGGTGGGATTAGTCCTTTCCAGATAATTCTGATGCTGGTGTTCAACATATGCATGATTTTTTTTTATAGAATTATTCCTGAACCTTGTTGCTGAGAAATATATTGCTAATATTCTATCCTTTACAGGCTTACGACAATTTAAGTTTGAGTGATCACTTGCTAAGAGCAGTCCTAAATCTCTTAAGAAGGGAAGTATCAGAACATGGACGTCATTTACAGCAGTATTTCAACTTGTTTGTGATGTATGCCAATTTAGGTAAGAATTTAGGTTTCCATAATGTGTTAAATGCTGAAGTCATTTTGATCAAGTGATGAAATATAACCTAGTCTAAAATAGAAAGCATTGTTTTCATATGTGTGTATCTTATCCCTGCAGTAGATTACTTGTAGTACTCTGCAGTAGATGTTTGTGACTATATTACAAGCATCAAAACGTTGCACATTGGCACTTAGTAAATGTTTCTTGATTGATTGATGGATAATAAAAGACCATTCTTTATGATCACTTTAGTATCCCTAAAGTAAAACATGAATATTTGTACAAGGTGGGGAAGAGGGAAGACTTTCACTAGCCTCTTGTCAATTCAAGCTAGATTTTCCCACCAAATACATTTTGACCCCTATTTTATAAAAGAGCTTTCTTTTTTTCAGAACCAGGGATTGAACTCAGGCCCTTGCACTTGCCAGGGAAGCTCTTATTCCACTGAGCTATCTCCCCAACCCCATAAAAGAGCTTTTAGGGGGCTGGAGATGTAGCTCAGGGATAGAACAGTGGGCTGCTGTGTACAAGGCCCTAGGTTCTGTCCCTAGCACTACTATCTCCCCAAAAGCCTTTTTGAATCTCAGTATATCAAATAAAGGATTGTATTTATGGTGTCAAAACACTATTGTCTGAATGGAATATGAAAGCAAATTAATTTGTTGCCATTAACTATGTTCATGGCTGTGATAGGGAAAGTGCTATGGAAGTATATCATTCAGATACTTGACCAGGTAGATTTAAGAAATATGGAAGACTTAATGAGAAAGTTGGTGTGGGCATTGATTAGTTGAGTTTTTCATGCACAGTGACTATAGATGCAGAGACTTGGAATTTCCCTCATTAGAGGAAGTGATAGTTACAGGGTTCCACTAGAAGTAAAGTGAAGTAAGTATGCTGTGTCTGTGTCTGTGTGTGTGGAACTGGGGATTGAACTCAGGCCCTTGCACTTGTCAGGCAAGCGCTTATTCAACTAAGCTATCTCCCCAGCCCGCTTTTTATTGTTTTGGCTTGATTTTTTTTCAGACAGTCTCGCTGTATAGTTCAGGCTGGGATGAAATTCCCTGTGTCACCCAAGCGGATTCTTGAATTCATGATTCTCCTGCTTTGGCCTTCCAAGTGCTAGAATTACAGACATGAGTTGTGTTTTGTGTAAGGGACAGTGTATAGGATATAGTAGTTAGATATTCGGGGGAAGGGGCAGGAAAGAGAAGAGTGATGCCCAGAATCCCAGCTTCACCAGCTGAGCACAATAAGAATGCCATTTGCTGAGGAGGAAACGAAGAAGAAGAAACGTGTGGGGAGGATGATGAGATCAGTTTGAGCCTGTGTGACATCTAAATGGATAGAATGACTAGAATGGTGAGGCATTTGTCTGGAAAAACTCAGGACTCATCAAAATGAAAACCACTAGACTTGAAAATGGGCTTAAATCACACAGGAGAACCATATGGTATGAGAAGGTAGCCTGGTCTAGGAACTTGAGGGACATTAGAGAGGCCAAGGGCCAGCCAAAATAGCTCAGCGGATTAAAGCTCCTGCAAGCAGGTGCAGGGACCCGGGGTTTGATCCCCGGGCCTGCTATGCCAGCCCTGCCCCTGGGTTGCGCTGAGCCAGCAATTGAGGCTGGGTGTGGTGGCGTGCCTGGAATCCCAGCTCTTGGGAGGCTGTAAAAAGGTGGATCACTGTGAGTTCGATATAGTAGTGAGACCCTGAACACCCTGTAGACCATTAAAATACAAAAAAAAAAAAAGAAGAAGAAGAAGTTGGTCTTTTCTGTGGCCTAGAATGACTAAAAGGTTCTAGTCCTGGTCACTGTCTAGCAGTTTTAATAATACTTGAGTTTTCTGTCTTCATTAAGTAAGTCTCTGAATGTTAGATAAGCACGATATGCTTCCAATCATAAAAACAGCAATTATGTTGAATAACTACTTTTTATTCCTGAAGCCCTTGCCATCCTAATGTTTTTCCTTTCACTTTTTTCCCTGCTGTTTCTCTTTATTATAGGTGTGGCAGAGAAGACCCAGCTGCTGAAGCTAAGTGTACCTGCTACCTTTATGCTTGTGTCTTTAGATGAAGGTCCAGGCCCTCCAATCAAGTATCAGTATGCGGAGTTAGGCAAATTATACTCAGTGGTATCCCAGCTGATCCGCTGTTGCAATGTCTCAGCAAGAATGCAGTCTTCAATCAATGGTAAAATAGCCCCATTGTTGATAATAGTTGTTAAATACTGCTGAACATGTACAGTGCTTGATTAGATGTAATTTTAAAGACGTTTAAATATAAAATACAAGTTCGGAAGAAGGTCCATGCTTTGGGTCCTGTGCTTTTGTTACACAATTAGACAGGGTTGGTTTGTTTTGTTTGTTTAGACAGGAACTTGTGGAGTTGCCTGGGCTAGGCTCAGACTTCTCAAAGTATTGGGATCACAGGTGTGCACTACCACACGTGCCTTTTTTGCATTTTATCATTTTAGCATATCTGATCATTGTGATGCATAATTATTGTACTTTAAGAAAGTTTTTTTCCCCGAAAAAAAATTTTACAAGCTATCTTAGTACTATGGTGAAATCTGTATGTTATTGTGGAAAGGCTTATTATCTGTTCATTGGTGCCAAATCTGTATTCTAGGTAATCCTCCTCTTCCCAACCCTTTTGGGGATCCTAACTTATCTCAACCTATAATGCCAATTCAGCAGAATGTGGCAGACATTTTATTTGTGAGAACAAGTTATGTGAAGAAAATTATCGAGGACTGCAGTAACTCCGAGGAAACTGTCAAATTACTTCGTTTCTGCTGCTGGGAGAATCCTCAGTTCTCATCTACTGTCCTCAGTGAACTTCTCTGGCAGGTTAAAGGAGATAAATATTCACAGGTTTCTGATTTGATTTGTTGTGCTTATTATTAAGTTACTCACTATGTTTTACTTGTTTCTAGGTTGCTTATTCCTATACATATGAACTCCGGCCCTATCTGGATCTACTTTTGCAGATCTTACTGATTGAGGATTCTTGGCAGACTCACAGGTGAATACTCAATTTTATTACTTGGCTAACTAGACTTGCCTAAAAGTTAGATATAACTAAAATTGACTCATGATATACTTTTCTTTTTGTCTTCTTGGAGTTCTAGTGGTTGTTTCACCTTTTAGAAAACTCATAAATAAATAAATAAATAAATAAATAAATAAATAAATAAATAAATAACTCAGTCCCAGCATGGCAGCATGCTCCTCCATTCTGCAGGTCTAGCACTCAGGCTCACTATGAATTGAAGACCAGCCTGGACTATACAGTGAGACCCTGTCCCAAAGAAGTGGGATAGGATGTTGAAAATGATAAAATACTTCTATGCCACATCCCCAAAATGAATATGACTATTCATTATTACTAACTTGCACTTTAAAAAAAAGAAAGTAGTTTGAAAATTCAGGAACTCAGGATAAAGGTCAATAGCAACAAGTTCTTCCTTTCTGTGTAATTATGTATCATTTTCTGGGTTTTTTTTCCCCCTCATAGTCCAAATTTTATATTTAGTATTAATTTCAGTTGCAGTTTTATAAAAATCAGCATGGGTTTTGGTAAATACTTGGATTTCATTCATGTGTACTTGGGTTATTCTAAGATTAAATTACGTTAGTTTTAGCATTAGACCCATGAAATAACATTTGGTTATCTAAAATAATCCTTAGGTAAGTGCCTTCTATTCCATTGTTCATAGAGCTTGTAAATAGCTCTATAGCTACATCCTAGAGGGAGTGTATGCTAAATAAACCATTGCTTTTGGAAGAAAATGCAGCTAGAGTTCTGTGAGCTTCTTCACTACCCCCACCTCCATCCCGTGTGGGAGTGAAGGTTGTTTTGGGGGGTTGCTTTGGTGGTTGGTTTGGTTTTGATTTTGTTTTACATGCCATACTGAGAATTGAACTCAGGGTCCCAGGGTTTGCATTTGGCTATACCTGACCCTTTCCTTTTTTATTTTGAGACAAATGCTCACTAAACTGTCCTTGCCCAGTTAAACTCTCATTCTTCCTGCCTCAGCCTCCCAGACTGCTGATGCTGCTAACATGTGCCACTACACCTGGCCTCTACATCAAGCAAATACTATGCAACCTTGTGTGCATCTATTTAATATATAGTCTTGGTTCATTGACATAAAGCCTAAGTAGTGGTGCTCACTTGTAATCCAAGCACTGAGGAGGTAAAGATAGATTTTAAGTTAAAGGCCAATCTGGGCTGTATGTAGCAAGACTTGGTACCTAAGGTACGGAAAAGGGTGCTTATTTACAATTGAAGCTAAAGCAGAGTGTCACTTTGTTCTCCTTTAGCTAGGTAAGTACAGGTTGGGCACCTTGAACACTTTCTTTTCTGCATCTGTCCACAAATGGCCAGTATCCAAACTCTAGCCATTTAATTAAGACAGTTTTATACCTTTCTTGGCATGGTAAGAGGTGAGATCAAGCCATTTCTCAATATGATCACAGGTTTTGAACCTTTTCTTCTGAGTTGATTTTATTGAAACCTAACTATTTTTCATTTTAAAATACAGCAAGCATTTATAGCTTTAAACTGGTAAGTCACAGCTTTGCTTTTTTATTTCATTAGAGTAAATGATGATGGTAAAGGCATATTAAAATGCTGAGTTAAACGGGAGAGGTAAACTTTTGTGTAGTCAGATTAGTAAATCATTGTTATTATGAATGATTGGCCCCAGCTTGAAAGGAATTTTCTCATAGTAAACTTTTAGTTTTTTGAGTAAATGAGATCCACATATTTATGGAATGTCTGTCACATGCCCAGCTTTGCTTGGCATCAGAGAACAAGGTAGGCAGAGATAATATTACTAGTAGCATTTGAAAATATTTCATATTGGGCTGGGGAGATGGCTCAGTAGAGTAAGTGCTTGCCTGGCAAGTGCAAGGGCCTGAGTTCAATCCCTAGTTCCTCCAAAACAAAAAAGAGAAAAGAAGATTTCATACTGAGGAAGAAAACATGATAAAACAGAATTAATGATTAAGCTGGGCCTAGTGGCCTACACCTGTGATCCCAGATACTCTAGAAGGTTTTAGAAGACTGAAGCAATAGGATTGTGCAAGCTCCAGGCTAGCTTTGGAAACTGGAAAATGCTAGGTATATAGCTCAGTGGTAGAACACTTGTGTAGTGTGCATGAATTCTGGGTCTAATCTTCAGTCCCAAAATGAACAGAAGAATGTTGTAATACCTCATTGTTACATAAGAAAACTGAAGGCAAAAGTAAATCAAGCCTTATATGTGTGGGGGGTGGTGCCACGATCTAACTTGGGACTTTGTCCTGGTCAAGCAGGTACTTACGCTGCTGAGCTATCTCCCCTGCCCAAGAAGCCTGTGCCTTGTTAATTGTCTGAAATAATTAAATTTTGCAAAATCACTGAAAGTGGTGAGCCAGGCATGGTGATGCAAGCCTGTATGCGTAGCAGTTGAGAGGCTAAGGCAGGAAATTGCTGTAAATTCAAGTCCAGCTTTGGGCTACATAGTGAGACACTGTCTCAAAAAAAATGCTGAAGGTTTCCAAACCATTTTAAAACTACTTGTGTTCTTAAAATCTGAAGGTTACTTTATTAAAGTAAAATTCACCATTTCAACCAAAGTACACGACTGAGTGGATGCTAGTGCATTCACAGTGTTAGTACATTCATAGTACATCACTGTTATCTCATTGTAGAACATTTGTATGGCTCCAGAAGGAAACTCTCTACCACCTGTCCATTTTCACCATCCTCTAACCTGCTTTCCATCTCTGGATCTCCCAATTCTTTTCTTTTTTTTTCTTTTTTTCTTTTTTTTTTTTTTAATCTCCCAATTCTGACCATTTCATTAAAAATGAAATCAGTCCAGGCATGCCTGTAATCCCAGGACTTGGGGCTGAGGTGAGTTTGACACCAGCCTGGACTACATAGCGAGACCCTCTCTCAGAAATGCTGAAAAAGAAATATAATTTATGGCTGTTTCTGTCTGCATTCACTCTTATATTTTCAAGGTTTGTTCATATTATAGGGTAATACATATTTTACTTGATTTATATGCCTGGATTATATGGATATATACATATCTCATTTTGTTTACTGAGGTAATTTTTTTATTAGTACATGAGTACCTTCATCATGGGGGTTGACATAATGCATCTTTTTTATTTTTCTTTCCCTCCTCTCAACTGGCAGGTGATACTTTTTAACACAAATAAGGCATACTTTTGCCTCTACAATCCTCTTTTAAATTGCTTATTTCAAAAATGAACAGAAATAGCAGTGTATTCTGTTTTCACTTGGTTTGGTTTGACAAAAGCAAAAGTGAAATCCTATATTGGTGTGTTAGCTAAATTGTACTATTGCAGATGAATATTGCTTTGCTGGCCATGTAATCTGATTAGAATTCAATATAATTTTGTACTGCCAAATTATGTCACTGTTTCATAGTCACTGGATCCTAGCTTTTTTTTTTTAATTTTTATTTATTTATTTATTTATATTTTTGTGTGTGGCCAGCTCAGCCCACCAGGGGGCGAGGCTGGCTGGCATGTGGTGCTGGGGGATTGAACCGCGATCCCTGTGCTTTGCTTAGCTTAGCTTGTTCTAAGTAGGTGCTTTAGACCACTGAGCCATCTCACCAGCCCTGGATCCTAACTTCTTACCTTCAAAAATGTAGTTTTAAAGTTTGTATTTCTCTGAGTGTTGAATTTGTTTTTGGTAATGTATATTAATACACATATCAAAATCCTTTTGGACTGGTATGTTTAGAGGAATACAGACTGGAGTCGGACTGCTAGGTACCTGTTAAACTCTACCTATTTCCTCATCTGTTCAAGAGTTTTAGCACCTACTTTTCCATGTAAGATTAAGTGGTGAGATCAGACATTTTTTGAGTGATACATAATACACTGAATATTAGCTGCTATTCAATTTTAATAGTGGTCTTTTATCTGGTCTCTTTCAGAATTCATAACGCCCTTAAAGGAATTCCAGATGACCGAGATGGACTCTTTGACACAATCCAGCGCTCTAAAAATCACTATCAAAAGAGAGCATACCAGTGTATAAAATGTATGGTAGCCCTCTTTAGCAATTGTCCTGTTGCCTACCAAATCCTACAGGTGGGATTTTCTTATGATTTCATAGAAATCTGAATCAGAATTAAGAATGATTTCAAAGAAGAAAATATTGAGAATTTGGGGTTGTCACTTTAAACTACCTTTGGAAGTACTCCACATCCTCTCACATACAATTTTGTTTTCTTTGAAAGGGCAATGGAGATCTTAAAAGAAAGTGGACCTGGGCAGTAGAATGGCTTGGAGATGAACTTGAAAGAAGACCATACACTGGCAACCCTCAGTACACTTACAACAACTGGTCTCCCCCAGTGCAAAGCAATGAAACTTCAAATGGCTATTTCTTGGAGAGATCACATAGTGCTAGGATGACACTTGCAAAAGCTTGTGAACTCTGTCCAGAGGAGGTAAAAAAAGCCAACAGTGTGCACCCGATAGAAATGGAAGAAAGCAAAGTAATTCTTTACTTTATAGGCCAGTGTTTATGTATTAATGATACTGTTAAAAATAAGTTAATGTTGGGCTGGGGAGATAGCTTGGTGGACTGAACACCTCCCTGGCAAGCACAAGGACCTGGGTTCAATCCCCAGTACCGCATGCCATGCTGTGCCGGCCACCAAAGCGAGGCGTGGTGGCATATACCTGTTATCCCAGCACTGGGGAGGCTGAGACAAAATAAGTTAATGTTTACTGTATATAAAGTTAATGAAGAATCCTTTGGGGTGGTTGGGATCTATGAAGTTTTCCAGAAGGTAAGTATTGAGAATCCAGGTTATGGGGCCGGGGAGATAGCTCAGTAGAATAGGAGCTTGCCTGGCAAGCCCCAGGGTCCTGAGTTCAATCCCTGGTACTGCAAAAAAAGAAAAAAAGAAAGAACGTAGGTCAGGATTTTTTTCTTTATTTTGTTCATCTGCGTCTGCAGTAAAAGAAGTCACTAACAGTTTTATAGACTTAAAATTTAGCTTATGGCTGGGCTATGTACTGCGGTATCTGCAATCCTAGCCCTCAGTGGCTGAGACAGGATCACTGCAAGTTCAAAGACAGCCTGGGCTACAAACTGAGTTCAAGGCCAGCCTGAACTGCATAGTGAATCCCTGTCTCAAAATTAAATGAATAGGGCCAGCAAAATAGCTCAGTGGACTAAAAGTGCTTGCTTAGGCAAGCGCAGGGACCATGGTTCGATCCCAGCACCACATGCCATGCCGGCCCCACACCCCTGGGCTCTGTTGAGTTGGCCACAGAGTCCAGGTGTAGTGGCACATGCTTTTAATCCCAGTACTGAGAAGGCTGAAAATGGGAGGATCACTACAAGTCCAGGCTATGTAGTGAGACCTTGTTACAACCAAATACATTAAATAAATAAATAGATATAAATTAAGTAGGTAAATAGTTTAAATAGAAAAAGTTAAAAAATATCCTGAATTTGTCTAGTTAATTCTTTCCCTTTGAATGTTTAAAATTAGGAGCCAGATGACCAAGATGCCCCAGATGAGCATGAGTCACCTCCACCTGAAGATGCTCCATTGTACCCCCATTCACCTGGATCTCAGTATCAACAGGTAAACATGTGTGTGTCCCCCACCCCAACCAATCTTACTCTTCTCTGTAAATGATGGCCACAGTTTTTGTGGTGATTGTGAATAATAAGATTGTCTGGGCTAGCACTGGGATCCAGATCAGAAATGGTTGGAGTGGGATCATGGTGCAAGTTGGAACGGCTCCTCTGTTGGTTGCTTGTTGAGTAGGTGTCCCTCTAGTTAGAATTATTAGAACTGGAATCGTTCTGTTAGCATAAAATGATAATCATTAGTGTAATGAACTATGATGCAACTTCCTGTTAAGCCAAGTCTGCAAGTGACTTCTGAAGACATTAAGGTACAGAACTATAGTAAAAGGTCCTTGATTACTTAGCCTCAGATTTCAGAGGCAGTAAAAATTATAGGAAAAGAACCACAAGGATTTGGCAGGTTTCCACAGGTGATTGAAAAGTATCACAGCACAGAGTGGCAGCCCCCAACCCAATGGGGCTGGTGCCATAAATTAGCATATAACAAACCCCATGGGTCTGACAAACATTAAGGTGTTCTTCTTAGGTTTCTGGGACAGATAAACACACGAAATAGTACATATCTGACATACTCATTTTTATAATATAGACTGTATAAAAAGTAAAGCTGGCTGGTGGGGTTATACAGACAAGTAAGAGCCCTGTGGAGTTCGGGCATTTAAAAGATTAAGAAACCAAATCCACAGAAGTTCCATAGCCCCAAGAAAGTTCTTACACTGGTCATGCCTTATTGTTCTCTAAATTACCCAGACTGGCCCCAAACTTTGTACCAGTCCTATCTTGCCCTTCAAGGAAGCTGGGATTATAAGTGTATGCCTCATGCCTGGCTACAGCTCATTGTCTGTGAAGATTTTTAACCAAGATCAGTAACAGACTCTTGGTTGTTTAATCACTTTGGCATCTAACTTTTTGGCACTAAAAATCAACTTGACCAAATAAGAGACTTATATAATCACTGTCCTTTCTTAGAGCTTGGGGTTTATATTTACACTAGCTTTTTCTCTTTCAAATAAGGTGGTTTTTTCACTATTAGTGTAAGTCCCAGGAATAAAAGACATGTTTAGTTTTCCACAAACTTCCATTTTAAAATCTGTTGACTGTAAGAAAAGCTTAACACGAAGATCTCTTCTCCCTTCCCAGAATAACCATGTGCATGGACAGCCATATACGGGCCCAGCAGCGCATCACATGAACAACCCTCAGAGAACTGGCCAGCGAGCACAAGAAAACTATGAAGGCAGTGAAGAAGTATCCCCACCTCAAACCAAGGAGCAGTGAAATGCACATAAAAAACTGATTCCATCAAGACTGTGCACCCAGGCCTTACAGTCCAACCTTTTTCTGTGTCTGGCTAATATTTAAAACTAGAAAAACTATTCCTAATCAACATGAAGTGGAGTTTATTCACTGTCTTATCTGCAGAAATTTGCTGTCAATATATAACCCGCCTGCAGTGGAAAGTGTATAGTGTTTTGTAATAAATGGCCTGATGCTAATGTGTAAATGGCAAAGGTGTATATAGTATATTAATGTTGACTGTTAATTCTTAAGCAAGAAACTTTTCTTGATGAAACTCACGGATCTCCAAAAACTACAAGTGTTTGCCTGCCTTGTGGCAGTTGGATCAACTCCTCTACAAAAACAAAAAATAAACGAACAGCAACAAAACAGCCCATTCATGTCAGCCACACCAATAGTTTCTTGTTAATTCTTTGCCACTGGAATCAGTTTTACTATGAGCAATGTAAGGCTGGTAACCTTTAAATTATTGGTTGATGTGGAAAATTGGTGATGTAACATTGTTTCTAGATCTTTTTCATTGCCTTTTTATTCTGATGTTAGGTTAATCACTTTGAAGCTATAGTATGCTGTAACATTTAGCATGGCTTCACACCAAGTTAGTGTAGCCAGTGAGGACAAAATACCATAATGACTGCAGCTGTCTGGGAGTGACAGCTGTCTTGCTCAGCTTTTCCTTACACCTAGAATATAATACAAAACAAAGGGAGAGATTTGACAAACAGGAGGTTTTCAGTTGCACATAGGTTCCTTCTCTGACAATTCAGTCTCTGGGTGGGATGAAGAACACTTAATTATCACTAATGGGAATAACAAATATGCAAACAGTTTACTATGCCAGGATGTTGGAGCATAATAGAAGACTGTATTTGGTGTGCTTGTTTTGTTTCTTTGGTAGAGCTTAGTAGGTGAATCTTCTAAAACTTTCCTTCTGCTGGATCCTAGTGACGTGGAAGTCGTCAGAATCCCACACAGTACTTGAAGTACCTCTGCATCGAGATGTCTGACTGATTTTCTGCTCAGTCACAATTTTACTTGAAGGCAAGAATTGTCCTAGCTCCTTTCACTATTCCAAAAATTTTAACAAAGCAGGGTCTAACTAAAAAAACTACTGGTTAATATAATTGAGATATCACGATTTCAGAATAAACATTTGATTAAAGACAAGGAACTCATTAGTGAATACTGTATTTAAAAGAGAATTGGTTTGAATGTGTATAATTTTTTGAAACTTGTCTAAAAACCAAATACCCCCTGCAAACAGATACAGCCCACCCTATTCTATTTAAATATTTTGCTGTTTTATTTTATAGAAATTATTTTGCTGAATTCACAAATAGAATTTGATTTAAGAAGAAATTTTTGTCCTGTGGTGTGTTTTTGTTTTTTGGTTACTTTTTTGTCCTTTTTTTTTTAAGGACTGCATATTACGATTCTGTGCATAGCATGCATAGGCATGACGCTACATTCAGGATTCCAGGCACACTGAGTTTTTGTGCACAGAAAGACTCGACCCTTGCAAGCCCTTCACTAGAGACTTAGAGAAAACAGGATGTTGACGCTGTAAAAGTTTCCTAACAATCTTGTACTTTTTGTATGTTTTTTATATACATGTATATTTAATGAGCACAAGCTTGGTTGTATTTTTTAACAATTCAGTTAAATGGGAAAATGTTTTGTCAAAAGGCTATAGTTGGAACTGAAAGCAGAAACAAAATCAAGCGTAGCATTATTTTGTGATTAAAGGGGGCAGATACTTAGGCTATGGCTTTGGGTATCTTACTTGCAGTACTTGATAGTCAATTTAGTCTTCTAGGTTTGCCGTAACTAAGAAATTTTGACACCAGTTAGATTGACTTTACTTTGTGTTACATCTAATTTGTTTTGTTTTTTGAGAGCTAGGGATGGAAATCGGGGTCTCACACATGCTAGGCAAGTGCTGTACCTCTGATCTACATCCCTAGCCTGAATCTTAAATTTGAGCAAAGGTTGTACAGTTTGCAACTCCAATTGGCAATTTCAATTTAAAAGTTCCTCAGTTAAGAGCTTCCTCAGCTTGTGAATTTAGATTAAGATTGTTCGCACGAGTTTTACTAATTACACTATCTCACTGAGAGGTGTTGTTTGGTTTGCTTCCTGCTCTTTAAAGTATATAATGTACTTAATTTAAAAACCCAGTGACTTCCTAGATAAGAAAAAAACTTGACATTTTAAGAGGCTGTGAATTTTTCTGTATGGAGAGAGATTCCAACTTTAGTTGCTTGGAATTTATAAGCACCCTAGTGCCAGGTGAGGGCTTGTGAATCATTTTTCCTTCCACTTGAGAAAGAATAGCCTGTTATAACCAGGAGTGAGGGAGAATGAAGTTATTTTTGTTTGTGTAGATTTTTTTCTATATATAACTTGTAAGCATTAATGTAGAACCAGAAAATTTTAAGGTGCATGTTATTGTAAGAGCAACATAGTGGTGATTTTGAAGTCTTCTGAACATAAACGGCACGTTTTAAATTTCACGTCTTCAAAGTGCCTAAAGATTATTTCATTCTCCCTCAGCTGATTTTTTGAGCCATAGATTTCCTACTTTAAATGTTGCAGAATCGCTAGTCTTCCTCAGAAAGAAAAATTCTCAGACTTCTAAATGGCATGATTATTGTGTAGAAGACGGTGGATTTGTTAATGTAGCCTGAAGACATTTGAGTTGTACCCTGTTGGATCCAAGTATTTCAGTGTGCAATTTGGTAAGAACCCTCCTGCTGCGTTGCTAAGCCCTCCACCAATCAAATTTCATACTCGACATCATAGCAGAGAGAACATGAAACATTTGGGTTTTTTTTTCCTTTTCATTGATTTTTCTTTCAGTGATAATTTCCCAGCTTTGTGTCTTTTAGCTATTATGTACACAAATTTAGAATTATTACTGTTTTCTATTTTTTTCATGATTAACTTTTATTAGTCATTGATAATTTCTCTTTAATCCTCCTAGTGGTTAAAAATGGGAATTTTTTTATTTCAATTCAGTTTGTAAATGAAAGCAACAGTCTGAATATTCAGATGACAATTTCAGAGTAGTTATTTCAGGTTTTTATAAGTATTTTTCCAGTTTATGTTCTATGAACTATTTTACTTTACTGAATTTTGTGGTTAATTTGGTGGATATATCATGTCCTGCCTTATTTATAACCAGATTTTTCAATTGCCTTTCCATTAGAAGTGCCCTGTTTTTGGACTTTAGTTTGAAGGTACTGTAGACATACTGCCGAGAAAGAAATCAACACCCCCTCGCCTCAGCTTTTGTGTTACCAAGAAAAAAACCATTCAGTACTGGTTTCCTAGTAGGGCTCGACCGGAACTGGTCGTATGCTTCTGTGTTTAGTATTTGAAAATAAGGTTTTGGGTGTGATGAACCACTACAGAAGTGCTAAATGTATTAAGAACTTGCTGCCGATTGTATTTATAACAATTATTTTGTGCTTGCAGAAATGTAGCACTTTTCCTCCAAATTTATAGGTGTAAAGGGGGGTGTGCCACATTTTAAAGTCACAAATGGCAAGTTTTTATTTTGAAATCTCAAAAGGAAATTTCACCGCCCAAATCACACACTTAGCCTTTTACAAGCCAACAGACTGACATAAAGATTGTCCACAGTTCTAAGATTTAGCACATATACAAAAATAAAACTTTATAAATTAAATTTTGGTTTTTCCTCTTTTATTAAAGCAAGATTTCTAAAATCAGGGGGTGATTTTGTTTTTTGCTGTGCTGAGGATCCCTCTCAGGGCCTGGTGAGTTGCTCTCCCACCGAGCTACACCCCTGGCCCCAGAGGGAATTTTTAAGGGACATGTTTACTCAGAAGGCTTCAGCTGTCATCTTGTAGACCTAACTTCTGCCAGAACTTGGCTTCAAAGCTGAAATGCAGCTACCCACCCACGTGTCAGGGGAGTTATGGAAGGGAGAGGGAGTTCCTACTCCGCTCTACCTGTCATTCTTAGTGTCTAAGAAGTGACGCTTTGCCTGTTCCAAGAAATGTAACGACAGAAACTTGATACTAAAGTTGGGTTACTTTTGCTTTTAAAAAGAAATTTCCATGTCAGATGTTTGGTTAGTTGATCGGCCTGGCCATGTCAGCTTTTTAAAAAACTGAGTCAAAATTTTTTCTTCAATTTGGAAAATGCCCAGTTGGAATGTAATCTTTTAGTGTGAATGTTAAGTACAGATTGAGTTTTCTTGTATGAAATGCTTGGGATTGGAAATGCTTTTCCGATTTGGTGTGCCCCACCCATCTTAAGGGTGGGACCCAAATTTGAAACAATTCAAAACCAGGTGTGGTGGCACACACCTGTAATCACAGCACTCAGGCTGAGGCAGGATCACTGAGTTTGAGGCCATCCTAGGCTACATAGTTCAAGGCCAACCTGACATAGTAAGACCCTGTCTCAGCAAAATAAAGTTTTATATATACCTTACACATCTAGCCTGAAAATACGTTTTAGTTCCTTTTGTTGTTGATATGCGTCTCGCTACGCAGTTTGGACTTGCGATCCTCCTGCCTCAGCCTCCCCAGCACTAGAATTACAGGCGTGCACTACCATGCCTCAGGCACAGCATTCTTGGGGTTCTGGGGCCAGCACAGCATGTGGTACTGTGATCAGACTCAGGAACTTGCAATTGCCAAGCAGGCACTTACACTGCTGAGCTATTTCCCGGAACCCTAGCCTGAAAATAATGCAGTATTCATAGTGTCCTTGGTTTGACATGAACATTCCTTTCCCCAGTGCTGGAGAAGGAGCCCATTAAAGACATTCCTTTTAAGAATATAAAAGATTGCAAGAGAAACGGAGCTATTATCTAATATACAACAGGTTTATTCTGCTCTTAACACTAGAACATGGTGTATTTCACCCAATCAAAAGTATACCAGGGCTAGGGAGATGGCTCAGTGGAATAATCGCTTCCCTGGCAAGCGCAAGGGCCTGATCAATCCCCGGTTCTGCAAAAAAAAAAAAAAGTGTACCAGTAGGCAACTCATGTTCAAGGACATTAAGACATGGGCCCTCGGGTGTAGTAATCCACTGCGTGGCAAATACGTCTAATACGTGCACATAAAAGGATTTTCTGAGGTGTCTTGCTGTGCATTGGGACTGGCCTTGAACTCCCAAGTCCTGCCTCAGCCTCCAGTGTGCTTGAGCTCTAGGCATGTTATAGGCTTTTTTTGACATTGCATCCTTTTCTCTTGGCATGATTTACAAGTTCTGTTTACAGGTGCTTGCTGGCTAAGTTAACTAATCGTGCAGGTTTACGAAGCAGCTGGATGGAACTGAACCTAAGAGAACTCATCAAATTCACAAGTGCTATAGAGAGAGCTCCTCGTGAGATACTTTGTGGCTATGCCTGCTGGTCAGCTGCCTGAACTTACTGTGTCAGAATTCTCCTGACCTTAGGGAAGAAATGAGGCAACAGACTTCCTTGGCCTTCCACCGCTGCGCTCCCATCCTGGAATTACCCAGTGCAGGAGCCTCCTTGCAAGATAAAAATCCTATGCAGGGACTGGGGAAATGGCTCAGTGGAACAAGCGCTTCCCTGGCAAGCGCAAGGGCCTGAGTTCAATCCCCAGTTCCTCCAAAAACCTGTACAGACTTCTCTGTTTTCAACTATAAAGATTTAAGAACATTCAAAATGACTACAGGGACATTGGAAAGGATTGTTTCATGGAATCCTTGAAAGAAATGCACACAAACAAGGAATAAAAATTGGTTTTTTAGGGGCTGGTGAGATAGCTCAGCAGACTAAAGCAGCTACATCGGTGAGCACAGAGACTGGTTCATTCCCTGACACCATGAGTTATGCCAGCCCCACACCAGGGCTGGCTGAGCCAGCCAAAAATTGTTTTTCTTTTTGGTGGAGGACCACATGGGTGACTTTCCTTGAAGGAGACACAATTGTCTCCATTTTGGCTGAGCCTGACCCTGTTTCCATATACTGAGATGTACAGAGCCCACTAGGACTTTTCCATATCCCTTCCATTTGGCTTTAAGTACTGTGTATCAGTCCAGCCGAGGTGTGTTTCCCCAGATCCCTTGTTCTGTTGTGTGAGCTGGGACGAGGCGGAATGAAGAGCCAGTGTTCCATCCTGTCAGCTGGGATGAGCCGAGGTAGAGG